AAAATTATATGATGGCCACTTTTATTTTTATTTTTTATTTTTATTTTTTGAGACAGAGCCTCAAGCTGTCCTCCTGGGTAGAGTGCTGTGGCATCACAGCTCACAGCAACCTCCAACTCCTGGGCTCAAGTGAGTCTCCTACCTCAGCCTCCCAAGTAGCTGGGGCCACAGGCACCCACCACAGCGCCTGGCTATTTTTTGGTTACGTCCGTCATTGTTGTTTGGAGGGCCTGGGCTGGATTCGAACCCACCACCTTAGGTGTCTGTGGCTGGCGCCTTAGCCACTTGAGCTACAGGCGCCAAGCCGCACTTTTATTTTTTTAATCAAACAAATATTTTAATGTAAATTAACTGACAAGATATGTATTTATTATAATTCATTTAGCTTAGATTATATAACTCAACTACAAAGGACACAAAACTTTGAATAAATACAAATTTATAAATATACCTCTTCAATAAATGTGCATAGAATTTTGATATTGGAATGGCAGAAACATCAAACTTTCTTTCTAAAAACGATTTCTTGATATATATATATATTTTTGTATGAAAGGTCTTCATTGGTGGGGGAGGGAGACTGCAGAGCAGCACCAAGGAGGAGAGAGAAAGAGAAGAGAAGAGAGTAGAGAGAAGAGGGTGAGAGAGATGAGGAGAGAGTGGTGAAGAGAAGAGAGAGAGGGAGCAAAGGAGAAAGGCAGGGAGGGGGGGGAGAGAGCAATCTCTTGATATTTGATTAACTTGACAATAATGTGGTAATCTTAGAAAATTCCTTTTTTTCTACTTTCAGGTATATATTCCCAGCTCCTAAGAACTCCTTCCCTGAAGAAGAAAGAATTGATTGAAGATTTGATAAGCATGCATGTACGCAAGAGTCGGTCTAGATTCATTGGAAAAGTGAACCTGGCAAGAAAAAGAAAATAAATCCAACTTCAGAGCTAACTCATCCTTTGGAATTTATATGTGTATATATATACACATATAATTTTTTCTTAACTATTGATCTTCCATTCACTTTAAATAGTGGGAATGAGGTAAACATTAAGTCAAATTCTTTTGGTGTGCTTATTTAAAGCTTCCTCTTTTAGGCTGCTAGCATGTTTCTTCAAATGATGACATTCTTGCCATACTATCCCACAGGCTAAAAGAGTTAAATAATAAGGGCTGGCATGGTGCCTCTTGCCTATAATCCTAGCACTCTAGGAGGTCGAGGCAGATGGGTTGAGCTCAGGAGTTCAAGACCAGCCTGAGCAAGAGTCAGACTCCATTTCTAAAAATAGCTGGGTGATGGGGCAGGTGCCTGTAGTCCCAGCTACTTGGGAAGCTGAGGCAAGAGGATCATTTGAGCCCAAGAGTTTGAGGTTGTTGTGAGCTATGATGCCATAGCACTGTATCCAGGGCAACAGAGTGAGACTGTGTCTCAAAAAAAAAAAAAAAATTTCCAAGGATGACTTGGGGACCAGGAGACTCAGATTAATAATTTTTTTGGGGGGTTGCTTGACATTGTTAATGAACTAGAGTGCACACATTTAACCGGAATGTACTGCATGACTTCCAAGCTATTAACCATTGGATTGCTTATGTACAGGTGTATAAGGGACTATATTAATTAATTAATAGTTACTTATAAATCTATGATACTTGAATCTTGTTTTGAGAGAATATTTTTAAATACTGAATGAAGCAAAAAAGAAAAAGAAAAAAAAAAACACTGGCAAATAAGGCATACTTCTCATGGAAACAAAATTAATAAAAGCTCCAGACTTTAGATAATGTGACTGAAGTCTCTTTATTTCAATGTTTAATGCTACCACTAGCAATACCCAACCTCTAATAAAACAGTGGAAGTATAAGTAGGTATAAATTATTTCCTAATTAGCAGATTTGCTATTTGATTAAATATAAAAACTCTATAGGTGGCTACATTTTGTGTTAAAATGCAAACTAAAAGTAAAATGAACAACATTATAAGAGAAAAACCCATAAATAATTTTTTTCCTGGAAAATGATTAGGCCTGAACAAAGTTTATAGCAGAGAAATACAATTAGCAAATTTATTTGAGTTTCAGACATAATCCTATTGTCATCTCTATTAATTCCCAACTCTCCAATCATTCCATTAGAACCAGTGATTGACATCGAGTTTGAATTTTAGATATGTTAGCAATTTCTTTGCTTTTTCTATGTCTAAAGGGAGCAATGGGCTATTGTCAGAAAATAAAAATTTCATCTGAGGGTTAGGTAGTCCTGACAACAGGGGAAGGCAGTGTGGGGAAAGACGGGGGAGAAGTTTCAGCTTCTGGCAGGTTAAGGGAATATGCATATTAAAATATTGCTGCCCTATTTCTCCACATAGCCTCATGATTTTGCTTTCATGCTAGTCTCTAATATTTCTCATTGCATTCCTTCCCATCACCTAAATTCATCATTACCTCTTACAAATCGTTGAGAAGAAACCAAGCCTACAGAATAAACTTGTAGAGGAACCTGCCCTTGATTCTTCCCTCACCTTGGCACGCCACAAAAGGCATTGGCAAAATGTTTCTGCAAAGTCAGGTACTGAATACTCTAGGCTTTGTGGGCCACCAACTGTCTGTCGCAACCAATCAATTCTGCTTTGGTAAAACAAAAGCAGCTATTGCAACACCCAGATGAATGGGCACAGTTGTGTTCCAATTAAATATTGTTTATGAACACTGAATTTCAAATCCACACAATTTTTAGGTGTCACAAAATATTAGTCTTTTGACTTTTTCAATCATTTAAAAAATTGTAATAACCGCTCCTCATGCACAGCTGGTGCAAAATTGGCAGTGAGCAGAGTCTGGCCCATGAGCTGTAGCTTGCTGATCAAGGCATGCTTATCAAACTTGTAAGGAACAAGCTGGGATGAGGTAAGGAGAGTGACTATGTTAAAGAACAAAATCAAAATAAAAGTTTATGATAGGCTGAAAAGCAAATCAAAAAATATTAGGATGAGGCTGGGCGAAGTAGCTCTTGCCTGGAATCTCAGCACTTTGGAAGGGAGAGCTGAGAGGATTGCTTGAAACCAGAAATTCTAGACCAGCCTGAGCACCAGCAAGACCCCATCCCTACAAAAATAAAAAAAATTAGCCAGGCATAGTGGTGCATGCCATAGTCTCAGCTACTTGGGGGGCTGAGGTGAAGGATTGCTTGAGTCTAGGAATTTGAGGTGTAATGAACTATGAG